GGCCTCCGTGTGGGGCAGGCGCAGGTGCTCATGGTCTGCAGCGCCGTGCATGGGCTCGCTTGTTTGCAGCCCCGAGGCCTCCGTGTGGGGCAGGCACAGGTGCTCATGGTCTGCAGGGCCTTGCATGCATGGGCTCCCTTGTTTGCAGCCCCGAGGCCTCCGTGGGGGGCAGGCGCAGGTGCAGTGCTTGTGGTCGCCCCCTTGTGTCCGTCTTTGCCCTGGCTTCCTCACAACACCTGCCTGCTTGCTTGTCCTTTTCCCTCGTTTCTTGTTTTTCCTCAGTCCTCTCCTCCTCACTTTCCCTGGAGTGTCCCAGGCCCTGCCATAGTCGTCGGGGAGGTTCATTCTTGTGTTGCTGTGACCGCCACCAGTGCCACCACCTTGTGAGGCGTGTCGGCCAACGTGCTCAGTGTCCGCAGTGTCTTCTCTATCCTCCAGCTCCACTGACCACCTGGCTCCACCCATCCCTGGGCCCCAGGAGTCCGGCCAGCATGGACCGCAGCCATAGCACCCCTGTGGCCCTCACTTGGTGGTTGGCTTTGGCCAGTGGGGGCTCCCAGCAGGAGGCCAAGGAGGAAGAGGAGAGCGAGGGCCTCGTCTTTACTTGCCCGGCTTCTCTCTGAGCTGCCTGGAGCTGGCCGAGTCCAGCCTCTCCCTCCTTCTGGGTTCCGGCAATCTCTCCTTCCCTGGTCTGTCCTGCGGATAGCTGCAGCCAGGCCCTGACTGGCACAGGGCTCCTGCACTGCCCCTGTGGCTCACCTGCTCCCTCCCCAACATGAATAAACCCTCCTGAAGCCACCCCATTGTGTGTGTGCTGTTTTCTCTTGGGACCATGTGATAGGGACCGTGTTTAGCACACAGATTCTGTGATTGTCCACAGCTGTCACCTGATGTCCAGACAGACATTGTAGTTGGTTGTCTTTTTTTCAGTAAAAATATGAGTGAGGTGAAGCCCTCCGAGCTGGTCCCCTGCCCTAGGCTGTCATATTGATGGGCAGGGATGAGGCTGACTGACTGCTCTAGGGCTGTCCTAGGACATGGGAGTGTGGTCTGGGCTGCTCCAGAAAGCCCATCACTGTGGGACCAGGTCTTGCCAGCCACAGGCCACAGCTGCCGGGGCCCAGGGAGCACTGGCAAGGCTTTCCTTTGGTGCCCATCAGTCGCCCCACACTGTCCCTCGGGGTAGCTCTACAGAGCCAGGCCCGTCCCTCACTGCGAGGTGAGCCCCTCAGGATCGGCCCTGCCTGTCGAGCATGCCAGCTGCCCTCCCCTCTCTGTGTGCCCCAGCAGGCACCGCCCTTCCCTGCTGCAGGTGGGTCCCACTCCTGTTCGGCTCTGCCAATTTCAGGGCACCATTTTCTGAAGTGGGCGGTCCAGATACCTGCCCTGTTGACTCCTCAGGTATCACCTGCCATGCCAGGAGGCTGCCTGTGGGAGTCCCACTCACCCGCACCCTCTTGGCCATGGCTGTGATGGAGGTGATTGTGGTGAGACCTTCCGCAGGCACAGCCCCTACCTTAGGCTCTTGGGGTACCACCAACTGCAGTGGGCAGAAAGGGCACTCTCACCCCCAAACATCAGGCTCGTCCCACACCTTCATGGAAGAGAAGTTCTTGGATACAAAGAGCAAGTGAACCCTCTCTTCTTTATTTTCCTGCCTGGAGCCCAGAGCCAGTGTCCTGCAGTCTCCTAGTGAGCAGCTCCGCAGGCCTGTTCGGAGGGTCCAGACCCAGCAGAGCCGGCCCCTTCACATCAACCCTGTGAACAGCGTCACCCCTTTGCATGACCAGAAGACAGTGACACTAAGTGGGGGCCCTCGTCCAGGAGCGCAGCGGGGCCAGTGCCACACTCGGTGCTGAGTGGGGACATGGGGGGCACCAACCTGGCTGGGGCTGGGGGTTGGGGCCTGGGACCCACTCAGGCAGGTGTTAGGACATGGCCTTACCTGAGGCACCTGGTGAGACCACCTGTGCCCTGAGGTGGCACCGGGGGAGGACACGGCCAGGCTCTGATTCCTGGCAGCATCCACTCAGGATGGAGCCCTCAGCAGGAAGGTGGTCAGAGGTGGGCCATAGGCCGGGTGGAGCCTAGGAGGGCTGAGCTGCTGTGACCGCAAGGAAGGAAGAGCAGAGGTCGGGTGGAGGTGTCGGGGAAAACCCAGGCTAGGGCCCAAGCATCCAGGATGATGATGGGAGAGACAAGAGGAGGCCAGATCTGGGGGCAGGATGGAGAGGGGGTACCAACCACAGGAGTCCTGCATGCTGGAGATGTGGCCTTCCGGGGGTGGAGCCCTGGGCCTGGGCGATGGCTCTTAGGGACCTGATTCCACCCCAGCCACACACGAGGAGCCCAGCCCAGCCACAGATGTGGGCGTTACTTGGGATGTTCACAGTCCTAGGCGACGAGCTGTGAGGAAGGAGCATGTGACTCTGGCTCAGGATTGGGGAGGCCTGAAGATGCCTATTTTTGTCTTATTTTATTTTATTTTATTTATATTTTTATTTTATTTTTTGAGACGGAGTCTTGCTCTGTCACCCAGGCTGGAGTGCAGTGGCACAATCTTGGCTCACTGCAACCTCCGCCTCCCGGGTTCCAGTGATTCTCCTGTCTCAGCCTCCCGAGTAGCTGGGACTACAGGTGCCTGCTACTACACCTGGCTAATTTTTTGTATTTTTAGTAGAGATGGGGTTTCACTGTGTTAGGCAGGATGATATCGATCTCCTGACCTTGTGATCCACCCGCCTCGGCCAGATGCCTGTTTTTAAAAGTGAAACTCAAGTGTCTGAAGGGAGAGACCTAGAGACAAGCATTCAGATCTTCCACAGACAGACCTTATGTCGACAAGTACCTGCAGCCAGGCACCCCCACCGGTCGTGCAGTGCTTGCGGTGGCAGTCCCAGCTGGTGCCCTTACCTGAAAGGGGTCGTGATGCCTTTTCCTCGGTCACTGGGTGGGGCTGGCCCCCAGCGTCAGTCAGTGCTGGCAGCACCAACACACAGAGCTTCGGGATAGAACCCGGCATTCCCGGCTCTGCCCAGACGTGCCGGGAGGAAGAGGCTGTGGTTCAGACTCCCACCCAGGGCATGCACACCCCCAGCCTGTGCTCCCTGGAGACAGGTGCACCACAAGCTGTAAAATGACAGAGAAATCCTGGAGCCTTGGCTTAAAGCTGCCTGTAACTTATGACATTAACCTTCCCTTTCTCCAGAGAGAAAAGGGCACTGCAGGAGTGGAGAGAGCGAGCCCAGAGGATGAGGAAGAGGAAGGAAGAGCTCAGCAAACTCCTGCCTCCGAGGAGGAGCATGGTACGGCAGGCATGGGCGGCGACCGGACACTAGTCCAGTCCCGGGGGTGGGTGGGTGCTCACACGCATCCCTGTCTGTGGAGGATGAGCCCAGACCTGGGGAGGAAGCTGCTTGTGCAGGCTGCTGGCTGGTGGGGCTGGGTTGGAGTGCAGCACCCAGAACCATTGCTCACTGCCCAGCCGGAGGGGACAGCTTCCTGCCCCAGCCTTGAGGGCTTGCCTCTCGGCTCACTGACTTTTGGCTCTTGTCTGAGGAATTAGAAGCTCAGAGGGAAGGGGGAAGAGGAGATGGGGGAAAAGATTCAAAAGATAAAAAGCAGCTGAGGTTGAGGTGGGCCCTGCAGAGGTCTTTCTGGGCTCCTCACCCTTGGTCTCTGGACCTCGGGGCAGGCAGTTCCCCTAGAAGCCAAGATTGCCAGCTCTCCTAAGCTCTGGGACATGGGATATCCCCAGACTGTATGGGCTCTTAGTCCAGCCAGGCACAGGACAGTGGGCACAGGGCAGTGGGCACAGAGCTGCGGGCATGGGCCATGGGCACAGAGTGGTGGGAGCTGGCGGCTCCTCCCTCCAGAATGCACCTGGCTTGCTTCTCTGTCCTGTGAGCGTAGTTAGGCAAATGTGCCTTTGAATTTGGTCACAGATGTTTCTTTGGTTCTTTCTTTTAAGAAATGCTCCCTGTGTGTTACTTTGAAGGGCCAGGGGTTGCCTCTGCAGCCCCCTTAGCTGGGGTGAGGCCCCCGAAGGCTTCACCCCACAGCAGAGCACGTGGTCATGTGGGCCTGCAGGCATGGACTGCTGGGACAGTTCAGGACTGTTTCCTTTTTTTAACTTTGTGTTGAACTAGTTTTTGACTTACAGGAAAGTTGCAAAAATAGTGTTTCCATCTCCCCCCACCCAGCTTCCCTGATGGTGACATCTTACATAACCTCAGAACAAGGCTCAGAGTTAGGAATTCACGGTGTCCAACGCGGTGGATAAACCAGGACTGCACCTCCTCACCCTTCTCAGGTCCCTGGTCCCACAGGACATTCAGTCATCATCTTTGCTGTCACCTTTTTCCTAATTTCCCCAATATGTGGAAAAGTTTAAAAATACATATTTTGCCACTTCCCAGAATAAAAATACTTGCACAATTAGACATCACTAAGAATGCTTTCAGAGCTGAATTATAGCAAAACTATGGGAAACTTAAATGCCAACAGATGGAGACGACTAAATCGTCACGTCCAGACCATGAGCTCCCTCTGTGGCCGACAGAAGGGTGGTCAGTGACCATATCCACCGGCCTGAAAGTGTCTTGAAGAATCGTTGTAAGTGAAAACAGCACAATTTGCAGGACAGTGCACAAAAACTCACTTTGGTCTGGAAGAATGTACAGCAAACCAATGGCTGCGGAGGGGGCTGTGGCTCCGGGGAGGGCTGTGGCTGCGGAGGGGGCTGTGGCTCCGGGGAGGGGGCGCAGAGGGGTCAGTGCTGCCACAGTGTGTGCTTCTGAGTCCTGTGAGCCCATCACAGCGAGCGTGTATGCAGTTTCTTAAAAAATAAAAAAATAGGTTTTCTAGAAACTCACCCATCATGAGATAGAGCAGTTCAGTCAGCGAGTATCGATGGCCTGCTCTGAGCAGGGAAGGGCCAGGCACAGGCTCCGCCCGCGGGAGCGCGCACCTCGTGCAGAGGCAGACCCTCAGCCGTGGCAGCAGACAGAGCTCCGTGGTAGCTGGCTGCTGTTCTGCACACCCCACCAGGCCCTGGGTGAGGCAGCTGAACGCACGGAGAGGCCTGCTGCTGCCCTGTGCCGCCCTCTGGGCCTGCGCTGCCCCAGGCACTGGTGAGATACTTGGTATGGCCCGGAGTGCTGTCGTCAGAGTCCAAGGGAAAATCTTTGTGCCTAAACGTTCGTGTCTAATATACAAAGAATGGCTACTAATTGATTTTAAAAATTTGAGAATCCAGTAGAAGAAATGGGCAAAAAGTATGGCAGGCAGTCCACAGAAGAGGAAATCCAAGCTACCGTAAAGACATGAAAAGATGCTCAGTCTGCGAGGAAAACGTAGGGTGGACGTGAGGTGCAGGCGCCTGTGTGGTCGGCAGGAAGGAGCCGGGGTGGAGCAACGTGGGAAGGAGCCGGGGTGGTGGAGCAGCGTGGGAGGGAGGGGGGAGTGGAGCAGCG